GATAGATAGATAATTGTTGTATCGTCGAAGTGAATGATACATAGAGAAGAATGATTGCTTAATATATTATATTCAATAATTATACTTATATGATGGCAAAAGACGAAATATATTTATTCAGCGCCATTATACGGTGCTAACGGATACATTAAAAAAACACACACACAAAACAATAAGTTACAAAACAATTAACAAGACAACTTACAAGGAATAAAAGAGGGTCAAATGCTGTATAGCCAAATGAAGTCAGATCAGTCTGAATATTAATCAGCTTAGTATCAACTTATTAATCAACTGTTGAAGTCCTTAATCGTAGACTATTTAAGGGTATGAACCAGGCCATCTCGTAGAGTACCGAAGGGGTGCTAGCTACTCTACAATACATTATAATTCTAAATGGCCACAATTTGCTTTTCAAACATAACCCTAATCTCTTCTTAACCGAAGAACGTCATAAGAACTTCTTTCAGGTCAGGTACACTGGAGTATGAGTTACGGGAAGCATTGCTCTCCAATATTGGCCATATCTCGCAAAGTCAGTAGGATTAATGCCAGGGCTTTGATGGAGACCAAATTAAATGTTACGCAAGGTATGCTACAGCGTGTTTGGCAGGAGCTGTTTTGGCAGACTTGGCGGGTGTCGTGTCACAGATGCTGCGCATAATGAGCACTTGTGAAGCTTTCGGAAATCGGTTATAAAATCTACATCCCTTTGAATATGTTGTTCGATTTTTGATAGACCTCTTATTGTTCAATAAACAATCGGGAGACATCGCTCTCCAAGTCCATATCGCAAAGTCAATAGGATCAATATCAGGGCTTTGATGGAAGCAAAATTGAATGTTACGTAATACATGCTACGGCGTGTATGGCAGGGGCTGGACTACGGACTTGATGCCTGTTGTGTGACAGGCGGTGCGTATATTGAATATTTGTGGGAAATCGGTTATAAAATCCACATCCCTTTGAATATCTTGATTGAAGTTTGATGAATAAATCTTTTATTGTTCGACATGAAATCTATTTAATTTCGTTTGCCTGGGACACGTAGTTACTCAGGTAATCACATTTTAAATGATGTCAATTTTTAGGGAGACACTGTGTTTTGACGAATAGACATGTTTCAGTTTATGCTTAAATTATGGGTAAATATTTATGCGCCATCCGGTATGTACAAATATCAAAAAGAGACCTGAAAATATCACCGCTTTATTTAACGGTCGCAATGACAAATAGTTTTGCATTTCTGTCTCTGAGTGTGCGTGTGTCTTGATAAAGTTCCTTTCTTTTATGTTTGTAACGTTATACTATACAAAATTAAGTTTATATTGATCGCGACTATGTGTATGTTATCAGTAACAGGTATTTATCCGCGCACCCACGAAGCAACAGAATGGGACACAAAATCGGGGTTTAATGTGGCTTTTCGGAAAAGGTGTAGGAAAATCTCAAGTTGATCGCTTCGACATCCCCCCCCCCATTTGGGAACGCTTCCTGCTGAAGGAAACGAGATAAGAGATTGGTGTTGGTGCCAATGGGAATCGAATAATGTCGAAAATGAGGAATCTGTAAAGATGTCAGATAGATGAAAGTTTTTTTTATCGAAGATTGGATAACGAAATTTATAGTAAGAAAACAAAAACCAAAAAACAATCATCTCCAAAACTTACAGTAAAAAACAATCGATAGCAAAATTTATAGAAAAACAATAGGCGTCAACATTTATAGAAAACACTCGCTGCCATTATTTATAGAAAAAATAAGGGAAGTCAACATTTATAGAAAACAATCGCTGCCAATATTTATAGAAAAACAATCGGTTCCAAAATTTATAGGCAAAAAACGGCGGCAAAATTTATAGCAAACAACTGGTTTCAAATGTTATAGTAAAACAATCAGCGCGAAAATTTAGAGAAAAGAAATCGAATAAAAATAATGTACAGAAACAATCGGCTCGAAAAATCCATAGGAAAAAAATAGGCTCTAGAATTTACAGAAAACAATAGGTTTCAAAATTTATAGAAAAATAATAGGCCCCAGAATTTACAGAACATAATAGGCTTCAAAATTTATAGAAAACAATAGGCTCCAGAATTTACAGAAAACAATAGGCTTCAAAATTTATAGAAACATAATAGGCTCCAGTATTTACAGAACATAATAGGCTTCAAAATTTATAGAAAACAATAGGCTCCAGAATTTACAGAACACAATAGGCTTCAAAATTTATAGAAAAATAATAGGCCCCAGAATTTACAGAACATAATAGGCTTCAAAATTTATAGAAAACAATAGGATCCAGAATTTACAGAAAACAATAGGCTTCAAAATTTATAGAAATAATAGGCTCCGGAATTTACAGAAAACAATAGGCTTCAAAATTTATTGAAAAACAATAGGCTCCAGAATTTACAGAAAACAATAGGCTTCAAAATTTATAGAAAATAATAAGATCCAGAATTTACAGAAAACAATAGGCTCCAAAATTTATAGAAAACAATAGGATCCAGAATTTACAGAAAACAATAGGCTTCAAAATTTATAGAAAATAATAGGCTCCAGTTTTTATAGAAAATAATAGGCATCAAAATTTATAGAAAAATAATAGGCTCCAGATTTACAGAAAACAATAGGCTTCAAAATTTATTGAAAAACAATAGGCTCCAATATTTATAGAAAAGCAATAGGCTTCAAAGTAGACATAAAAGTAATGATTACTTTGAACATGGAATTAAAAATATATCTTGTTCATTTTTTTTAAATCATCAATTCAAAAATTGCATTGATTTTATTCTGTAATTTTTCTGAATCACAATCCCCCCCCACCAAAAAAAATTAGAAATTTGACAATTACAGTTTCGATATTTCTGAAGTCAGTTTTGCTGGAAAAAAAATGAAACTTCATTTCTAAAGTAAAAGTTCATGATTGTTACATACCCATAATGCTATTGTCACATACCAGTGATGCTATTGTCACATACCAATGATGCTATTGTCACATACACATGATGCTATTGCACAAATTGTCTTTTTGGTTGACAGAATCCTGGAATTTACCTATTTTCTTTTTACTAAAACGTGTACTGAACAGTTACAGGATATCAGCTCTTCTGTATGGCAGAGAATGATGGACAATCTCATCACAGATGAAGAAGAATTCTGGTTCTACAGAAGGTTGCTAAGAATAGTATAGACTGAAGCTCTAAAACCTCGTCATTGCTCACATGTTTAGTTTATGGTATTCTTAGCATCCTTCTGTAGAACCAAGGTTCTTGCCCATTTGTGATGAGATTTTCCAGCCCTCACTGCCATACAAGAAACAAAAAGAACAATTTTACTTAACATCAGAAAAGGACAGTTGAAATGTTTTGGTATATAATGAGGAAAGAGAGCTTGGAAAATCAGATACTCACAGGACAGATTTAAGGCAAGAGAGACAGAGGCAAACAATGCATAACCCACATAATGAGGAAAGAGGGCTTGGAAAATCTGATACTCATAAGACAGATTGAAAGTAAGAGGGACAGAGGAAAACTAGACATGACATACATAATGAGGAAAGTGGGCTTGGAAAATCTGATACTCACAAGACAGATTGAAGGCTAGAGAGATTGGAACATGAAAACAACACATAGCCTATCTAGCAAGCTTGAGTAAATCGATGGCGGAACACTGTTTAGGAGAGATAACAATCAGACAAAATTTATTCAGAGCTCCAAATGACAGGAAAATGTGGAGAGCCATGATCACGAACGTTGTGGAAGGGACATCGCACATAGAAGTTGTTTATTTTATAGAAAGAATGCAAATCAATCCACAACGTCAATTATATGGGGATTTCAGAAAGAAAAAAAAATGGTATCTCTATTCTTTGACTGTCTTTATTGAATGCTAATCCAACTTTTCTCAGAGAATGGTTGAGTTATTTTTTTTTGTTCAGGTGAATAAAACTGGAAATACGACCCAATGACATTCTTTTCACCTGGGGTTTAGAAAAGAAAAAAAAAGAAAAGAAATAGGTGTGCTTCTGACTGGATATATTCCGAGTGTAATCTGGGATTATTTAATTTCTCTAACTAGGGATGGCAAAATATTACGCTGGTTTTTGCTAAAAGAGTTTAATTACTTTAGCTCACTAATTGATTTTATTTTTCAACGATTCTATCTTTTTATCTCTTGTCCATTGATTTATATTACTACTACTACTACCACTATAATAATAATAATAATAATAATGATCTCTCTTTTTATGTACCGTGTCACCTCAGGACGTAAGCGATCAGGATTCTCTACAATTTCCTATTCCTGGCAGCTCTAAATAAATAGCCTTTCCGTTATTTCTAAACTCTGTTCCGCCATCCATTTTCTCAAGTTCATCAAGTATGTTACACATTGCTTTCCTCTGTCCCTCTTTCCTTCATCCAGCCCTGTGAGTAACAGATTTGCCAAACCCTCCTTCCTCATTATGTTTCCGAGAAATTTCAACTGTCTCTTCTTGATGTTAAGCGTATCCTTTTCGTTTCCATTTTTCTCTAAATGTTCCTGTACAAGTTATCCTCAGCATCTTTCTGCAGAACGACGTTTCTGCTTCTTCAAGTCTCTTCTTCGTCTTTGAGGAAATTGTCCAGCATTCCCTGCCGTACAGTCGGTAAAACGTTTGTCCATTGTGAAATGAAAATATTTCTCCAGTATCGATTTTATTTACTTTCTTTCCTTTTCAGAGAGACGATAATGAAATGCCACACATATTATCCTTCCTGTGTTTGTCGGACACTATCAATCCAGATCGATACATCTACATAGGTATAGATGTATCGTCGTTTCTGCTTGAATTCGGAAAACCATAAATTCTACTAACGTTGTTTAACAAGTCAAATGCACGTGAAGCCTGATTAACTAAATGAAAATCAATCAGGATAAAAATACCAGAATTCTTTCTTCTTTTTATTTTTTTTTTTTTTTCATGCCATTCTCTGGTGAAGCATTAATAAAAGTGAAGCATGCTATCTAGATTAACATTTCTTAGTTGTTTTTATCTATCTATCTATCTATCTATCTATCTATCTATCTATCTATCTATCTATCTCAATCTGTTCATATCTATCTATCTATCTATCTATCTATCTATCTATCTATCTATCTATCTATCTAAATATCTATCTATCCATCTATCTCTCATAGTCTATTCATATCTATCTATCTATCTATCTATCTATCTATCTATCTATCTATCTATCTCAATCTGTTCATATCTGTTTCTTCAAATATCTATCTCAGTTTGTTCATATCTATCTATCTATCTATCTATCTATCTATCTATCATAGTCTGTTCATATCTATCTATCTATCTATCTATCTATCTATCTATCTATCTATCTATCTCAATCTGTTCATATCTATCTGTTTCTTAAGATATCTATCTCAGTCTGTTCATACCTATCTATCTATCTATCTATCTATCTATCTATCTATCTATCTATCTATCTATCTGTCTGTCATAGTCTGTTCATATCTATCTATCTATCTATCTATCTATCTATCTATCTATCTATCTGTCATAGTCTGTTCATATCTATCTATCTATCTATCTATCTATCTATCTATCTATCTATCCCTTCTTTTAGTCTGACATTCAATAATATATTCACTTCAACGGGACATATTCCTCTATTTTTCTTTTGCGGATTCATTTCACTTTCTTTTTCTTTCCTTCCTTCCTTCCTTCCTTCCTTCCTTCCTTCCTTCCTTCCTTCCTTCCTTTTTCAATCGAACTCTTCCCGTTCACTTCATCTCCCCCCCAACGCAAACGTGGTTTCCCGCCGGAAATCATTCCCCCTGCCTTCTTCTCTTACTCATTCAATCATTTATTTAACTATCCACTCATGTGATAACAAAATCAACTCATTCGCTTCATGAATCAGGAGAAACGGTGCGGTTTGTCCGCTCAATTTGCTCCGGTACCGCCGAAGATAGCCCCGGTGTCCTGAGCAGTCAGTCGACTGACTAAAATGGGCGCCATTTTATTGTCGTAGCTTTCTTCTTCGAAGCCCGCCAACCGAAGAACTTTCCCGCCTTTTCTTGCCGGTCGTGTCATGCTGCTGCGCCGGGGTTATTTCATTCGTTCTCTTCAAATGTCGAGGGTTTTCAATGTCTCGTTTGTAATGATTTATATTCTCGCTTTTGGAATGAGAAACGGATATCGTCGCAGAAAATGGAATTAGCGTGTCGGTTTCGAATCCAGGTTGAAACTTCGAATATCATTCCAGCATGACCATGGTAGAAGTAACCATTTTAGACCAGATGATAATTTCGGCATTTCCAAACGAGTCGAATGCCGGGCATGACAGCCATTTGAACGTTTGTAAATGAACAGTGAACACTTCGCAGTGGAGTTATGGTGAACGAGTATTCAACAGTTTATAGCCTTTTTCAGGAGAGACATTTAATAATTTCAAAGGAGTATAAAACTCTAATCTACTTCAAAGTAGGATCTTCTGATTTCAATGCACTTATTGTAGCAGTTCAGTCACTTTGTAAAGCCACCATTCGTCAAGTCATTCAAAATGAAAGTGTCCATAATCCTTGGCACAACCGCCTTCATCTTGTCAATATCTTCGAAACGGCGACCTCTGGAGTTCTCTTTCAGCTTGGGGAACAACCAAAAGTCACAGGGAGCAAAGGTCTGGACTGTCATGAGGGTGAAGGACAGTTTCAATGACCTTCTCTGTCAAGTAAGTTGATTGTCAACGGGGTTTTCCTTCTGTTCGTCACTGAGCGTCATGGGAACACACGTTGCACCCTTTTTAGATGGTTTCGAATCCAGCTTGAAAGGTCGAATGTCATTTCAGCATGAATGGTAATGGCAAAAGCAACCATTTTCGACCAAATGGTATTTTAGGCATTTTCGAACGAGTCGAAGGCCAGCAATGACAAGACATTTGAAAGTTTTTAAATGAAAAATGAACACCTCGCAGTGGAGTTATGGTGAACGTGCATTTAAAAGTCTATATGCGAATTTGAACCCGACTCGCAGATATCGATTTCAGTGCCAATATTCATGACAGTCCAGCACATCCTGAAACATTCAATAACACTTTTGAATGAAAAACAGACAAATGTTCGACCTCATGTCATATTACCTTTATGGACCTCTGAAGTTTTTAGCCTTTTTCAGGAGAGACATTTATTAATTTCAAAGGAGTACAAAACTCTAATCTTCTTCAAAATGAAGGGAAGTTGTCCAGGACTCTTGTCACAACCTCTTTTATCTTGTTAATGTTTTCAAAACGACTGCCCCTGAGGTTCTCCTTCAGCTTTTCTTCATTATAATATTTACTTTTATTTATCATTCTTGATAAGTATTTTGTAATTCTTCATCATAGGTCAAATATGATACATTGCTTGAGGTCATGAATATTGCAAAATATTTAAGTTATTTTGGTGTTAATATAATCTAGAAAATAATAGTTAATAATTCAACTATTTGTTGCATGTTCACAGGATGGTCTACTGAAACAGAATCACGTTCTGGTGAGTGAAAATATTCTTGCAAATTTATAAAAGATAATTACAAAATTACTTTCAATATATTTGGTATCAAGAATACAATAATTCTTTATATGAGGTGTATTCCAGAAGATTTTAGCCTTTTTCAGGAGAGACATTAATTTCGAAGGCCAGGCTGACATTTGAAATTTTTTAAATGAAAAATGAACACCTTGCAGTGGAGTTATGGCGAATGAGCATTCAACAGTTTATATGCAAATTTGAATCTGACTAGCGGATATCGATTTCAGTGCCAATATCCATGACAGTCCAGCACATCCTGAAATATTCAATAACACTTTTGAATGAAAAACAGGCAAATGTTCGACCTCATGTCATATTACCTTTATGGACCTCTGAGGTGCATTCCAGAATTATTCAGCCTTTTTCAGGAGAGACATTTATTAATTTCAAAGGAGTACAAAACTCTAATCTTCTTCAAATTAGGATCCTTCGACTTCAATGCATTTGAAGCCCTCCAGCCACTCCCTGAAGGCCCCATGAAAATCACCCAAAATGAAAGTGTCCAGGACCCTATATATTTGGCATCATCAAAAATGCAATAATTCTTTATACGAGGTGCATCCCGGAAGTTTTTAGCCGTTCTCAGGAGAGACATTTATTGAATACAAAACTCTAATCTCTTTCAAAGTAGAATCCTCTGACTTCAATGAACTTATAGCGCTCCAGCCACTTCGTGAAGCCACCATTCGTTAAGTCATTCAAAATGAAGGTGTCCATAACCCTTGACACAACCTCCTTCACTTTGTCAATATCTTCAAAACGGCGACCCCTGGAGTTCTCCTTCAGCTTCGGGAACAACCAAAAGTCACAGCGAGCAAAGGTCTGGACTGTCGTGAGGGTAAGGGATAGTTTCAATGCCCTTCTCTGTCAAGTAGTTGATTGTCAACGGGGTTTTCCTTCTGTTCGTCACTGAGCATCCTAGGAATATATGTTGCACACATTTTGCACATGTTCAGATCTTCATGAATAATTCTGTGTACAGTTGTCACACCAACTCTGAACTATGCTTTTTGTCTTTATAGACACAACGGTCTTCATCCAGAAAATTGTGAATTATCTCAACCATCTCTGATGTCTCTCACCTCCTTTCTACTATTCTTGAACTTCTTGAAAGGGTTTGCTCAAAGGATTTCAAATAACTTTAGATAATGTAAAAGGAAGAAAACAGGTATTGAATAAATATCTCTGAAGAATTTTGTTCAGAATTAATAATCTGTTTCTGCCTTTACTAACCTTTTTGACTTTTCCTGAAATTTGCTAATATTTCTCAGTTGGAGCTTTTTTTTTTTTTTTTTAAACTACTACTACTACTACAATCTGGTAGTTGACTTGGGTTTGAACCAGAAAGCAGTTATACAATTATTTTGTATGATATTATTTGTACAACATAGTTCCTAACTATTTTTCTTGTGTATGAAATGTATGGATGAATGTATATTAAACATTTAAATATGATCTTTTGAAAATGTTAAGACTGATGAGTACTTTGTTAACTCTAGCCAGAAGGAACCCAGTGGGTGTAGGCGATCCCATGCTGTTGAAAAAAAAAGGATCATATGAGCTTATCTGTGGACTTTCTTTGGTCTGGAGAGGCCAGGATGCTTCCATTGAGCACGGGTAGACCCAGTTTTTGTCACAGATTAAAGTCCTCCTGGGTTAGAGGTGATGAGCTTAACCATGCTCTTGGTGTCACCAATGTGTTGTACCTTCTGTTTGTCACTGAGCACCCTGGGAACAAACTTTATACAAATTTTTCGCATGTTCAGATCTTCATGAATAATTCTCTGTATGGTTGCCACACCAACTCCAAACTATGCCTATTGTCTTCATAGACACTACAGTCTTCATCCAGAAAATTGTGAATTACCTTAACCATCTCTGATGTCTCGCACCTCCTCTTTACTATCCTTGAACTTCTTGTGCCAACAGCAAGCAGATGACCAGTTCATACAATTTAATCCATAAGTAGTCTGAAGTATTTCATAAGTTCCTGTAGTGATTTGTTTTGCCCAGTTTAACATGCCACTTTATTGCATAGTAAGCTTCTAAATTGTCTTCACATCCTGACTGCATTGTGCAAACTACTCAGCTGTGATAATATAAGCTTCTCTGTCAACTTGCTTTTCCTAACCTTTTTGGTCTGAGGGAGTCAGGATGCTTCCACTGGGAACTTAGTTTTTGGATCATAAGAGTAGACCCAGATTTTGTCACAGGTCACCACAAATTCAAGTACTCCTGGGCTGGAGGTAATAAGCTTGACCATCTTGACCATAAGCTTATTCATGAAGATCTGAACATGCGAAAAGGAAGATTCCTGCTGTCAACAACGCGACTGAGCCCTCGGGAACAAACTTTATACAGATTTTTCGCATGTTCTGATCATGAATAATTCTGCATAGTTTGTAGTTGCCTCACCAACTCCAAACTATGCTTTTTGTCTTTATAGACAGATGACGGTTTTTCATCCAGAAAATTGTGAATTACCTCAACCATCTCTGACCTTCTGACGTACCATAACTTCCATCGACTCTCACCTCCTTTCTACCGCCCTCGAACCGCTTGTGTCAACGAAAAACAAACGCTTGGTTTATAAAAAATCATCTATAAGCAGTCTGGATCATTTCATAAGTTTCTATAGCGTTTTTACCCAGTTTAACATGAGACTTTATTGCGTCGTGAGCTTCCAAATTGTCTTCACGTCTCGACATTCCGCAAACCAGTCAGTTAGGACAAACTGTGTTTAGTAGGGTGTGTTCAAAGAACTGTAACAGCCATTTCCTTCAGTCTAGAATAATAAAAAAAAAAAACGTTGGCTGGTCAGCTTATTAGATGTATAGTAATGTTATATTAAAATTACAATAATCTAGGAGAGTTCTAACTGCTTCTCCAGAAAATGTCTCAAAGTTTCCGGAATACCCTTCGTATTTTCAAATCACTGGCTAAAGCAGATTGATCGTCCATAACATGTAGACAAGTAACCAATCATCGGCTTTATAGCGATAGATGCATGATGGCTAGCCACTTGGTTTTCGAGTATGACCACCAAAAGATGTCATTTTGAGATTTAGTTGTGTTTTAAATGAATATGGCTCTTTAATCTTAATAAACATTTTCAAACCTCTCCAAACAAATTTGTAAACTGAAATTTGTACAATTCTAAAGTCACTTAGCAATGAGACATTTCAAATTTTCTAAAGGGTTATAATATGAGAATACTGATAGTAATTTTCTTTTTATTTGTACTTTAGAAATATAATTTTACCGTTATAATATAATATATATATATATATATATATATATATATATATATATATATATATAGAGAGAAGTTTGGATGTCATTTACAA